GATGAAACCCTAATGACATGCCTTAACCTTTCCATTGAGCGGCACCAGGATGGCTCACTTGAGTCTTCAGAAACCTATCTCCACCGTCTACTAAATGTGCACAGACTCTCATCCAGATGAGACATAATCACTTTGGTGATCACAATTTGTCCAATCCTTAAGTGTATATGAACATCATACCAGCAAACTTTGATATTTATGGACGAAAGGAAACTCTGCTAGCCTTTCCTACTCTGATCTCCCGACATACCTCTGCACACTCCAGCGCACCCCGCGGCGAAAAACCGCACCGCCGCCGGGGGTAATGCGTCGGTGGCCTGGAGCGTGGTCTCGCGTGACGCTAGGCCGGGTTGTACTCCTGATCGAGCCGTGGAGTATGAGGAGTCCTTTTTTTTGTATCCTCGAACTTCGCTGGACCCTGTCGCTGCCTGTTGGTGATGGCGGGCCCGATATGTGATGGTTCATATCGAACTGGATTTCCTCTTTATACTCCCGAGACCTGGCTGAGGGTTGGTTGTCCAGTTGTCATCACTGCAACTTCATACCTGATGATGCTGCTTTTTTTAACTCTCCCGGACGTCTGCCGAGGAGAGTTGCGACTGTTTTTAAAGGAGTGATCTTTACAATGTAAACATTATCGCTCTCATCCTCCTTCACCAGCTTTGAACTCAGTTTGTTGAGCGTAGGGCACTTGGCACATGCGTGCCTGTGTGCCTGTGGTCTAGCGGCCTCCCAGAAGGTAGAGACAGAGGGGCTTCTGGTTAACAGAGCTTCTGGTGTCGTGGCCCCTGAGTGATTATGGTAGCCCAAATATGACCGTCTTATGTTTAGGAGATTGTAGATATGTCATGTGTTTGTGCCGTGAAGAAACCGGGCTTTGACGGAGACTTTGGTTAGAACATCATTTGGACTTGTGTTTAATCTTGGCGCCAGTTCTGTACGTTGGCCTGACACTGATGTAACGCGTCACATATTTGACTTGTTTTCATCTTTGGATGGTTGCCTGTGTCTGATAAGCGCGGGCAGGTTGCTGACGCTTTGTCTCGGATCCAGTTGGGGATGCCTGCTACTTTGTTTGAAGCTGCCGTTTGGCTCTCACAGCAGGTAACCTCGCGCTTGCTCGCCGCGACTGTCGAGTTACTTAACCCTTGCCAGCTGCTGGTCACTTCTCCGCAGGTTTTCCGCAGGGAGACGTGTCGTTTTCGCCGGGAGGAGGGATACAGGAGGCTTCTTAACTCGAGGCGTTCTCGACACCTGTCAAACTTGCCATAGCATTGCGGCCTCCATTAAAATCAGGCAGCAGAAAGCTAAAATCCCAGAGCTTGGCTGAATTGAAGGCAACCCGCACTGCCAGACAGCGATATGTCGAATGCAGCTGGGGACCGATATCAGCTGCGACAAAAGGACAAATTGCGCAAATATCTTTGCAATTACTGAGGGATTTCGTTGGTGTCATTAAAACCTACTCCATTGCCAAGATTGCTAAAAGAAAAATTATTTGCTCGATATTGTTCTTTCTAAGTACTGTGTTAAAGCCTCTTGTTTGTTTAAAGGGTTGATCAACTCTCTTCTGAATGCCACACGACGGAATTGAGCCTCCCCTGCTGTTTGGGTTTCCTTCTTCACTACTCATTGATAAAGTCACTTCTACCAGAGCACTTGTTTCACCTCCTGCCTTCTGGATCCTCAGTGCGTTTGTCCCCTTGCTCTGGCTGTGTTTGACTAGTCCGTCTGAGCCTGTGACCCTGCTTTTGTGCCAGGGAGATTGTGGTCATGTGAGAGCCCTCGGATCTCCGCGTTGTGACTGTACCCCCTCCCCCGATTGTATTTAAGGAGCCGTTTTTCCCACTATTCGGCATCGTGTCGTCAACGATTTAAGTAATAGCAGTCGTCTCTGAGTACTCCCGGCGCTGGAGTGTGGCAGAGGTATGTCGGGATGTCCGATAGGAAAGGAGGCAGAGTTTTTTGTCCATAATAATCAAAGTTTTGCTGGTATGTGTTCATAATAAACTTAAGGATTGGACAAATTGATGATCCCACCAAAGTGATTATGTCTCATCTGGATGAATGTCTGTGCAACATTTAGTAGAGGTGGAGATATTTCTGAAGATAAGTGACCTCCTGGTGCCCTCAATGGAAAGGTTAA